TTTGAAATTAGCCCCCCCCCCCCATTTTTCTCTTTTCCTCTCCTCACTCTTCTAAATCTTAGCGAAGTACGGAGAGAGAGTGTTCAGCTCTACTGTATTCTACTTTACTGCCAGCTCCATCCTCCATGCCCTTCGGGAGGTGTAGTGGAACAGCCCCCCATACACAGTCCCCAGAATCTCAGGAACCTTTTCCATGTCAAGAGCCATCACTCGGGGAAATACCTCCCCTAAGATGGCCTAGCCCTCCAGAACAGTTGGGTTAGAGGCTTAGCATGACTGATGGGAGGAGTCTTGTCTTGTGGGCATTCTCCTGAGCTTCAGGAGTTGAGGGTGAGGGTGAGGTGGGGAAGCACTGGCCCCTGTATTTGCTAAGATCTGTGGGACAGAGTCACCTTGCTTTAGGCTGCTGTATTTGTGGCCACTCTCGTTCACTCAGCCCATCAGGCCATGGCATTCCTTGATGTGCAGAGAATATTTGAGGATGTTATCATTTCTGAAATCCCCTGCTTTTCCTCGGAGCAGATTTATTACTGCAGTCGGACCCACTCCCAGCTGGCCCAGTTTGTACACGAGGTACAGAAGAGCCCCTTTGGCAAGGACACCCGGCTCGTCTCCCTCGGCTCTCGGCAGGTAGACAGAGGCAGGGCGTCAGCCCAGGTGCCATCTGCTCCCTCCCCTGTGCCTTTGTCTTCCTCTTCCAGGCAGGCTGAGAAGGGGGAGGATAGCCCCTTCCCTGGCCTTGCTGACCTTTGGAAGGAAACAGAGGAGGGCCGGGCTGGGAGGCCCTGGTGGGCTGCTGTGTCATTTAGCCAGCACTGTTTCTTCAACTCTTTCTCCTCTGTTTTCTAGAATCTTTGTATAAACGAAGACGTGAAAAACCTAGGTTCTGTGCAATTGATCAACGACCGCTGCGTGGAGTTGCAGAGGACTAGACATGGTAGCCACCTGTACCCTTGAGCTAAAGGAGCCTCTGGGACCATCCTGTGTCCTTGGGCAGTACTGGGAGTGAGGGAGTGGGAGGGGGCATGGACCAGGGCCACAGGAAATACAGACAGTATCTTAGTGGAAATGATGGTTTCTTCCTAAAGATCCTCTCCTTGGGAGAAGGTGTTTTTGCTTTCTGGGTTATTGTTAATTCTGAGACCCTGGCTTTGAACACAGAGTAAAATACTAGAATGTTATGATGAGACCAGAATAGTTCATGGGAAGGTTTTGTAGACTTGACCTTACAGGCCTGCTCCTGGCCACAGGACAGTTACCATTCTTTCTGCCTTTGACCCCTGTACTGGTGCCACCACAGAGAGCAAGAGCAGAGCCGAGGACAAGGAGCCCAAGAGGAGAAGGCAGGAGAAGGCTGCCTGCCCCTTCTACAACTACAAGCAGCTACAGCTCCTCCAGGACGAGGTCCTGCTGGAAGTGAAGGACATTGAGCAGTTGGTGACCCTGGGGAAGGAGGCTGGGGCCTGTCCCTATTATGGGAGCCGGTTTGCCATTCCAGCAGCCCAGGTGAGGACCACGGAGGGTTGGGCAGTAGCTTTTGGCTGTAACTGTAGCCTAGGCCATGAGGGAATTCCTTACTCCTCTTAGTTTGGGAAGATGTCACTGGCCATGGTTGGACTGACTGACACACTACACACTGATGACACATAACCTACTCTCTCCTAGTACATAAGGTTGCAGGAGGCCCCGGGTCCCTTGGTGGCCCTGGGCTGCAGGGACTGTGACATTATAGGAGGACAGCAAGCATGTCAGAACCAGGAAGGAGTGTGCATTCCTAGTTGAGACCACAGTGAGAGATGCTGGCGCAGACACCAAGAGGGATGGAGTAAGGGCGCTACAGAACATAAATCTATTTCCAAGTGGCAATTCAGAGTGACTATCCTAACTGTGCACCTAACTGCAGCATTTGAAAGGGCTGTTTTCTGGCCTGGCCATGTGGAGTATTATTTAAACAGAAAATCTGCCAGTTTGACAGGTCAAAAATGATGTCATTGTTATTTGGTGGGTATGATTTAACTGTTTTCTTGCTACTTCATTTGAGTGACTTTTGGAAATAGGATATTATTTGTGGAGAATTCCATATAATCAAGAAAAGGTTAATGTCAATTTCAAAAGACGCAGGGAACTATGTTAGTAATAATTTTACCTGGCACTAACTGCTCATCAGTCTATTACCCTGACCCCTGTGAGTGGGACTCAGAGAAATCCAGGAGCCCTCCCAGCCTCACAGCGCTCTCGTGCCCTTCCCAGGATCTGTTCGCACAGTGGAGGGTTAGCGTTATAGACACTGCCAGTGCAGTAAGAGGTCCTGAAGTTTTCATGACCTTGACTTAAGGCACTTTTCAAAGTCTCATTTTTGCTTTTATGGTATACCACTGAACTGGCTAAAGCAGATACTTTCCATATTCTACACCTGGGGACACTGGGTTCCAGAAAGGTTAAGTGGTTTATCTATTTCCACAGCAAGTGAGTAGTGGAACCATAGTAAAATCTGGGTCTTAAATTTCTAGTTTTCTGGATCTTCACTTTGTTTATCAGTATCCTTTTAACTGGAAAGTTGTCATAGCACCAGAGCCACTAAAAAATTTATGGAGTGTTTTTATTTTTGTTACCCCAACCCCACTTCTTAACCCTATTTTAGAGTTTATCAAGTACATTTTACAGATAAGGAAAACGAGGCTCATACAGGTTAAATGACTTGCCTAGAATCACACAGCTGGGAAGTGGCAGCTCCAGGACCAGAACCCTGGGCTACCTTCTGGTACACCAGTGTTTTTCAGTGTTTTGAGGAAACCTAGGTGCCTCAGGGGCTACCTTGGGGGCATGGACAAGGCTAAGCAGCAGGGGTCCACTCCCAGGCCCCCATCCCTGCCCTTGGTTCAATCAGAAGTCAGGTCAGCTTCACTTTTGTTTCATATATTTGACGTTCCACATAAAACTTTTGAAGAAAGAATCTGTTGCTAGAAGCACAGTACAATACTACAGCTTTCTCTCTACACCTGTTCTGGGCAGGAAATAAAACTGTTCACACCATGAACTTAGAGCAGGCTGGGAGATGCTGTAGGAGTGATTCGCATCACCACTCACGTGGCCACCATCTCCTCCCAGGTGGTGGTGCTGCCCTATCAGATGCTGCTGCATACGGCTACCCGGCAGGCTGCAGGGATCCGGCTACAGGGCCAGGTAGTGATCATCGACGAGGCGCACAACCTGATCGACACCATCACAGGCATCCACAGTACAGAGGTCAGCGGTTCCCAGGTAGGTCAGCCTCTCCCTACCTGGGCCAGGGCTTGTCATGGGGCAAAGGGACATTTCTCTAACTGCTAGACCTTGGATTCCTCCAGAGATAGAGCTTGGTGGAGGTGCACTGCGTCAAGGCAGTGGCCTCATGAGAGGTGACTCTGCTTTCCAGTGGATTTCAGAACTGTGGGATCCTGCTCAGGCAAAGGGGCTTGTGCCCTTTATCGTCACTGGCCTGTGTTCTGAGCCCCTCTAGCCCAGGATGCTACTAACTGCTTCTCCATGATCATGGCTTGAGAGAAGCAGGGTCCTCATGTAGCTGGGTGTCATTATTGGTACTGCTTTGAGGGGATTTAACTGAGGAATGCTCAAGATTTCTGAAAACTATTTATTACCTATTATGTGCCGTGCACTGTAGGAGGTATATCTGATCTTCACACCTGTTCTACACTGGGCTGGTATTCCTATTTTACATTGAGAACTCAGAGATTTCGAGAGATTTAAGCAGTGCCTAAGGTCACACAGCTAGTAAGTGGGGAGCTGGGATTTGGCCCTTGGTTTGTGACCGTGAAACCCACATGACATCCCACCGCCTCTATTGACCAATGCCTGGGTTGACCTTAGGCCAGGATGTGATGATTACCTTGAACTATCACTCTTAGTAGGTAACATGTCTTTTCCAACCCCAGTAAAAACTAGCAGGGAGCTTCATTACCTCTCCCTGACTGGGACAGATTCAGCTGTCTTTTCCCACCCCAGTGAAAACTAGCAGGGAGCTTCATTACCTCTCCCTGCCTGGGACAGATTCAGCCTTTTGCTTTTCCCCTGGCACAAAGTAGACACTGCAGCAGAACCTGTCTTCCTTTCCCTCTGTCAGGTCTCACCAGCCTAAGGGCCTTTAAAACCCACACCTTTTGTCTGTATCAGCCCTACTCTCCTCACACTGATTGCCTCCTGTGTGTACTGGATTGGCATTTTCTAGGCACAATCTAAGAAGTCCCTGGCACAGTCCTGGGCCACTTGCCTAGAGTCTCGTCTGCCTTCATGCCCATTTCTTCTCTCCCTAGCTCTGCCAAGCACATTCCCAGTTGCTCCAGTACATGGAACGATACAGGTGAGACAGTACCTCCCGAGGGGGAAGGGAAAATCCTGCTCAGCCTCAGCACCCCTAAGCCAGCCTCTGAGAGGAAGCACTTGGGTTGGCATCTCTGGCTGGGCACCGTGCAGAATGGCCCATCGTGTTGCTGTCTCTTGGTTCATCATGGCGTGGGTGCACCCACATAGGCCAAGGGTGCTCAGGACCCAGCGCCTGGCTCTGAAGACCTTGGGCTATGGCTGGCCTCTTTTCCATAGTGTTTAGTAGCTCATGACCCAGTTTGAAAGACACCAGACAGAAAGGCCTCAGCTTGGGGCACTTATAAGGGAAGGTGCTGGAGTAACCCCACTTGCTGCCCATTGGTTTGTCCTCAGGAAACGTTTGAAGGCCAAGAACCTGATGTACATCAAACAGATCCTGTACCTATTGGAGAAGTTTGTGACTGTGCTGGGTGGTAAGGAGCACTGTGCCTGTCCTAAGCTCAGGTCACTGGACTTGGTTCTCTGGACACCATCAGGGCATCTGGGTTTTCTGTGTCCTCAGATTGTCTTGGCTTTTGATTCAGAAAATTCTCATTTTTTATAGCATAGTTGTATTGATTTTTTTTAGAACCCTGGTTTATTTGCCACTGTTCTGAGGTGGTAATAATATAATATTATAATAAATATAATATAATGCAATTGTATGACATTTTATGGACTAGTGATAACAACTTGGAGCTCTCCTGTGAGGAAGGCAGCATGGGCATGCTGACCCTCAGTGACAGATGAGTGAATGAAAGCTGAGAGCCTCTGGTTCCTGAGCGCAGTGAAGGGAATTAGAACCCGCTGGCTCCAGTTCCCATTCGTCTTTCCAGCTTTCTGTGCAGAACCTCTTTCTTTCCTCGGGTATCTCTTTGAAGGCTTTCATAGAAGTGGAAGTCCACAATGCCAGCGGCGGGCAGGGTGTGTGTGTTCTGGAGGGGTTTTGTCTCATGTTGGTGCTCTTCGCTTCCATCTCTGCCTTGCCATTGTCACAGTGCAGAATGGGGTGGCTGCTCTGTACCTGCCTCCTTGGAGGAGGTGTGGAAAGAATGAAATCACAAGGCCTTGGGCCTAGTAAGCACAACTAGACATGCCCAGCCCTCTGCCTTGCTCCATCTTTCTTGTTTACATATCACACATGTGGGTCAGACTTTGGGGCTTCCTGCAACCGCCTGTCCTCAGTGGGGGTCTAGGGGTTTTAAAAATAGCAAAAAGTCTGTTCAAATACAAATGTTCTTACTTGACTAGCACAGTGTAGAGTGTGAGAAGATGGTGGGCCAGAGGACCACCATCCTGACCTGTTTCAATTCTCTTTTAGGGAACATTAAGCAAAATCCCAATACACAGAGCCTCTCACAGACAGGTAAGAGGGTGGTCTTCATGGGCCCAGAGCTGGTCTGAGCCAGTTCTGAGCTTCCCTCTGGGACCCCAAACCTTCAGTCTTCAGAGCAGGACCCCAAGGCTCTTGTTTGTTTACCCTTAGGGACAGAGCTGAAGACCATCAATGACTTCCTCTTTCAGAGCCAGATCGACAACATCAACCTGTTCAAGGTAGAGGTTTTACCTGTTCACATTAGCTCATCACATCTTATCCTTACCACCACATGTGGGCAGAACGCTATGTTAACACTGTGGAAGAAATAAAAAGTAAATTCCTTCTGCCCTCGGGTAGTCCAGAGGGCTGAGGGTCTACAGCACAGACATGCCATTAACCCTTAAAAAAGCTGTGTGTCAGCAAAAAAAATCCTCAACTAGGGCCAAAGGGTCATAGATATGAGGGAGAAAAGGTGCCTTCCTTTGTACCTAGTAAGCACAACTAGAGACGCCCGGCCCTCTGCCCTGCTCCATCTTTCTTAGGGCGCAGTCTGCCTTGGGCTGCTGGACCGAGCAGGAGGATAATTTTGTGAGCATTATCCTGCTGTTAGGCTGAGGTGAGGGAGGGCACAGCGGGCCACTCTGCTTAACCATTCTTGTCTTTCCGCTCCAGCTGTGTGATTGCAGCCTCAGGTCCTTGCTTGTTCCAGGCCTATGTATTCGGTGCTCTCCCAGGTGGGGTACAGCCACTGTTGCTAGACTCACAGCCTTATGATTCTAGTTTCCTAACAGTAACAGAGCAATTACTGTGTTTGAGGCGGTGCACCAGGTTCTGTGACTCCAGGGTAGGGTGTGCCATCACCATTCTGGAGCAGAGGAAACCAAGGCTCAACAAGGTCACCTCAGGAGGACACCACACACAGGCCACACATGAACAAATGGTGCATGGCAGAGCTGGCATGGGACCCAGCCTCACAGACTCAAGACCCTGCTTTTTTCCCATCGTGCCTTTCCTTTTCAAACCAGCCTGCCCCTAACTGGTCATGGTTACTGCCATTAGCCCCTTCAAACAGGCTGGCAGTCCTGTCATCTTTGAGTCCTTTCTTCCATTGAGTCCCTCATCCAAACAGTTGCCAGACCCAATAGCCTGAAATAGCTGTTGAATTTATCCCACCTTTTCATTTCCATGGCTGCTACTTCAGCTCAGGCTTTTTCCTTTGTCTTCTTGACTTCATTCTTTCTGCCTTCTAATGGCTTTTACAAATTGCAGCCTAGTGAATCTTAATGGAAAGACACCGTTCTTTTCAGAACTCTTTAGAGGCTCCAAAGTCATCACCTTGCATTCCAAGCTACACATCAGCCAACTGCCCTCCAGTTGTTGCCTGAACAAGTCCCAGGCTTCACCTCCTTTGTGCCTTTGCTCACAGGACTTAAAAAAAACCCCCTCTTAATCCTTCAAAGGTCTAGCTTAGGTGCTATCATGATGAAGGAAAGCAGAGGGGACACAGCCCTCACCGAATGCCTTTGGGAGGGTTGGAGCCATGCATACCTATTTGTGAGGAGGCCACCTCGGGGCCTGGCAGAGGCTCTCGTGGGAGAGTACCATGTGGTGTGGAAACAGTGGGGGAGGAGTGACCTCAGAGGGTGACATGGTTGGCCTCAGGAGGCTTTGAGCTTCTTGGGAGGTGGTGGTGACTCATGCTCCCTGGGTTTTGGAAAGTGGTTATCTTTGTTTTCCAGCCTGATTGAGTATTCCATGTGCCTACGGTGGGTTTGGTTTTGCAGGTGCGGCGCTACTGTGAGAAGAGCATGGTCAGCAGAAAGGTACGGCTGCCCTTCCTTGGGGCCTAGGTGGGGTCCAGCAGCGCCCCTGCTTGCTGCCCTCACACTGCCTTTCTCTCTCCTGCCCTGTGGTAACTCAGAGTCACTCTCATCTCCATTGCCTTCACTGTGGAGCAGCCTTGCTGGGGTGGGTAGAGGCTGCCAAAATGTGTGGTGTTGGGGCAGTGGGGGTGGAGGGGCTGGTTGAGATGCAGATGAGAGTGGGGAGCCTCTTGTCCACCCCGGACTCCCTCGCTACTGCTGCCTTCATTCATCATTGTTGTTCTCATTCCTGCTCAGCTCTTTGGCTTCACAGAAAGGTATGGGGCAGTCCTTATGCCCCCCAAGGAGCAGCCCAGACTGGCTGGGTTCCAGCACTTCCTACAGAGCCTGCAGCCCGGGGTTACTGAAGGTGAGTCAGGAGGGTGGGGGCTGGGCTGCAGGCCCTGGGTGAGAATGTTCCTCCCTCATGCATGGACTCATCTTCCCCAGAAAACTGCTTTAGTCCAACTGCAGGGAGGCCCTCTGGCTGGCCTTGTCCATGGTCCCAGACTCTTCCTTCTGCTCTGTGTAGCTCCCACAGCCCCTGTGGAGGAGGGGGAGGCCAGGGCACCACGGCCTGCTTCCCCGCTGATGCACATCGAAGGCTTCCTTGCAGCTCTCACAACTGCCAACCAGGACGGCAGGGTCATCCTGAGCCGCCAAGGTAATCCGCGCTCCTGGAGCTGGGAGGCCAGAGCATGAAAGGAGCCTTTGCTTCAGTCCCGGCACCTCCCTGGGTCAGGACGAGGAAACAGGGTGGTGACCTGGGCAGGCGGTGTGGGTAGTGAGGGGGGATGCAGATGTATGGGATGGTCAGTCATTTCTGGCAAGGATGGGAGAGAAGCCACGTAGCCTAATGGCTAAGGTAACGAGCTCTGGTTTGAGTCTTGGTTCCATCCCCTACGAGCTGCGTGTCTTGGACCAGTTTCTTTGTCTCTGAGCCGCAGTTTCCTCATGCGAAAAGGGAACTAATAGTACTGTCTACCTCAGGGTTGTCCCGGAGATTAAGTGGGATTTAATTTAAAGAGAAAGTGATATTTCTTGTGTCTCCTACATGGACCCAGCTGGAGGTCCCCTTTGCCTCCCCTTGTCTTTTGTCTTTTTATCAGGCAGCCTCAGTCAGAGCAGCCTGAAATTCTTGCTGCTGAATCCAGCTGTGCCTTTTGCCCAGGTGGTGAAGGAATGCCGGGCAGTGGTCATTGCCGGGGGCACCATGCAGCCGGTAAGGACACCAGACCCAGCCTCTTGTGCCCGGGTGTGGATGGGACAGTGACAAGGGAAGGGTGAACAATCAGGCCTTAGGTTCCCAAATCAGAAAGGAGTTGGCTTGAGCAGGCCAAGCATTGTCCACCAGGTGGCATTGCTGTACTGTCTCACTACCCTGGGCCTTTCAGGCTGTGGGGACATGGGGCACTGCCACTGCTCCTGTGTGTCATGTGTCCATACAGTGGCATCATACTTTTCCAGAGAAAGTCCTTCTAGAGGTTGTTCTTCTCGCTCTTCTCACTCTGGTACCTTAGTGCCATGCCCACCACAGATAAAACCTTCCCTCTCTTTTATAAATTTAAATATATTTTTAGAAAAGTATTATATTTCCATTGTAGAAAGCAGAGACGAGTAAAAACAGGAAAAAGGGTCATAATTTTACCAGCAAAAGATTCATGTTGGTGCATATCATTATAATAGTCTTCATATGTGTAATTTTTACAACATACATACATATTTTAAAAACAAAAATATGGTATTATCTGTATATGTTGTTACAATTTATTTTTTTTCACTCAGCAACGAAATGACATGCCCATTTTTTTCTTGTCAGCAAATAAGCATTTATTCTGCCATACTCTGGCTGTACTTTATCCTATTACATGAATATATTATATTTTATGTAACCACTCTTCTTTTGTTAGGTTTTTAGGTGATTTCTAAAATAATAAAGGGTCATATAACCAGTCCCTGCACAGTGGTTCTTTCCTTAGGAAACGTCCTAGAACAGGACTTACTGCATGAAAAGCTACTCAGCGTCCTCAAGCAGTCTGTTCCCAACCTCAGCTGCCTGTTAGATCACCCCTGTAGCTTTATTATTTTTCCATTTTTTCATGTGTATAGACTTGTAGTTTTTTTCATTCATGTATTAAAATAATTTATAGTCATTATGGCTTGATGCTCAGATTGTCTCAAATGTGGCCTGTGGGAGCCCCCTTGCGGGCTCTGGTCCCTTTGATGTGGCCCTCTTAGTCTTGGAAGGCTGCTTTCTGGCAGAACAAAACACCCCAGGCCACCTGATGCTTTCTTTGCCCCAGATCTGGAATCATTTATTTCTCCAAGGTGCCCTAGTTTCCTTTATTGGGGATGTGTATTAGAAACCAAGATCTGGGTGCTGGGGTGTGTGCAGTGTTCCCAGGTAATTATTGTTTATGGGCCTTTTTAGTACAGACCTAGGAAGTATGTTTTCAGACATCATGAGTCCATATTGATATTCCTAAGTCAGAATCAGTCAATTTATTCAACCTTGTGCTGTATCTCATTTTCTTGAGCTAAACTTTCGGTTTCTTATATTAACATAGTTATTTGCCCTCTCCCACAATATACTTAGAATAGTGTCAAAAATATAATACCAATATTCTAACAATAACCTATTGATTAAAGTTTTCTTTGCATTTTTTTTTTTTTTCCTTTGAGTATATCCTGCTAAGGATATGTGTCACCATGGATGTGAAGCCACTTGGTATCAGGCTTTTCTGTGAGCTTATGTTGTGAATTTGATAGACAGCTAGGCTTCCTTTGTTTCTGTTTGTCTTCAGTTTTAGAGTTTGCCTTTTTGTTGACTTAATTCTGTTTTTTAAATATGTAAACCTCTGTATGGTTCAAAAGTCGAATCTGTATGGTATAAAAAGATCAGAAAGTCTCACTTCCATCCCTTCCCAGCCTGTTCCCCATTCCGTAGGTAAGCATGTATTATCGCTGCTATCCTTCCACTGATCCATGTTTTATTTTTTTGTCAAAATAAGCAGGTGCATGTACTTACTCTTTTTTCCTTTGCTTTCTTACTTACATCAAAGATGGCATAATCAGCTTCTATTTACCAGCATGTTCTGGTGATCACTCCGTATCAGCACACAGGGATCCTTTTGTTGGCTGCATAGTTTTCTTTGGGTGGATGCAGCATAGCTCAGTTGACCAGTCCCTCTGGAAGGACAGTCTTGCCCTCACAAATAACTTCCCAAGAAATATCCTTGCATATGTGTCACTTGGTTTGTTGAGCTGTATCTCCAGGAGAGACTCCTAGATATGAGATTGCTGGGTTAAAAAGTCAAAATGTATCTAATTTGTTCAATTGTCAGATCCCCCTCTGGCTGCAGTAGTACTATTCTGTAGCTCACCAGCAATGTATCAGAATGCCTATTTCTCCACACAGTGATCAAACTTTTGGATTTGCCAATTTGATAGGTGAAAAACCTGGATGGAGCTCTTTAAAAATACAAAAACATACTCCTCTCCCTAGAGATTCTTATTCAATAGTTTGGGCTGGGGCCTGGCCGTGTGTGTGTGTGTGTGTGTGTGTGTGTGTGTATTTATTTATTTATTTATTTGTATATATTTTTTTAAATTCCCACTGGTGATTGTGTTGCATACCAGGGCTGAACAACCACTGTGCCAAATTTGCCTAATTTCCTTTGCTATTCCCACAAATAGTTTAAATGAGACTGCCAACACTGGGTGTCATTAAATTGTTTGTCCTTTTTGCTAATTTATTATCAGCCTTTCCTTTTACCTGTTTTCTGTTCTTATGTACTTGCTGCCTCCTTGCCCAGACTTCTCTCTTTCCAAGTGCTTCTCTCTTCCTCTCCCTGCCAACACCCCTGCCTGCTCAGACCTGAGGTCCCTGTCCCTGGACCTCCAGGAGGTCATAGAGCCTTGACGTTGTGGTCTCCAGGTATCTGACTTTCGGGAGCAGCTGCTGGCATGTGCTGGGGTGGAAGCCGAGCGACTGGTGGAGTTTTCCTGTGGTGAGGATCCACTTCCAGGGTGGAAAGGGCCACATAGTCACATTATGGCCCTGTGTTGTCATAATCAAGCCATATGCTGTATCAGGCCTAAGGGGCCGAGGAGACCATGGGATAGGCGTCTCTTCCTTTGCTAGCTGTCTGGTGAGCTCACCATCTCTGTGTTCTCATACTCTGTGCCCCCTCCATCTACATGAGAGGCCTGAGCATTGCTGTTTTGTGGAAACGGGTGGGTGAATGTTATAAATTGCTACTCCTAGTCTGGAAGGCAAGGGTTGGGCAGTGCTCTTTCTGGACTCTGCCTTGCAGCTCCAGTTTGAAGCCCCTCACTGGTTCTTCCTAGGTCATGTGATCCCTCCAGACAACATCCTGCCCCTTGTCATCTGCAGTGGGCCCTCCAACCAGCAGCTGGAATTCACATACTTGAAAAGAGAGCTGCCTCAGATGGTTCGTACCAGCCAGCCTGCCTCAGCACTGCCTTTGCCAGTGTGGAAGAGAGATTTCTGGGGTGGGGACACTGGCTAGTCCTGAGTGTTTAAGTGTTGTGAAAATTAGTATAGGGTCTTCCCACACAGAACTGGCACAGGATGAACAGTATCTAGATGTTTATCCAGGAAGGTCTGACTTTCCCCACACCCCTTGCCCCTGAGGCTGCTAAGTAAGTTTTCTTGCCCTGGTGGGTGTGGCTCAGTTGGTTGGGGCATCGTCCCATGCACCGAAGGGTTGCGGATTCAATTCCTGGTCAGGGCACATACCCAAGTTGTAGGTTCGATCCTGGTAGGGGCACATATGGGAGGCAATTAATTGATGTTTTTCTCTCTCTCTCTCCTCCTTCCCTCTAAAATCAGTGAAAGGCATGTCCTTGGGTGTGGATTAGAAAAAAGTTTTCTTGACACCTCCAGTCAACCCTTTAGGATGAAGCTCATGAGAAACCATTTCCTTTGGTTCTCTTGCCATTTGGTTATATCGGGCCCTGCCTGTCAGGGATACAAGTGCTGGGGGCACTTCTCTAGTGGCACGCCTGGGGCTTTCAGTGCCCAATTTGTCATAGATGGTGCTTACAGGGCCATCTGCTCACAGGACATTGAGAGCTGGGGAAAGGAGCACCCGGCACACACCAGTAACAGGTGTAGCTCAGTGTGCTCGCACTGCTGTGTGGCCGATGCTGCCAGTGGCCTGGAGCGTCAGTTGGGTGTGCTTGGTAGGGAGGGTGACACATTCCAATCTGTGATTCCCAGCCAGGGGGCGCCACCTGGCCATAGGCCTCCCTGACCACACTCACCTGTGGGTCTTTACTTGGTTCTGAGCCCTAAGGTAGGAGCCTTTTTTTGGGTGTGGCTTCAGGAGTTGTCCCATGGAGGGCCCCTTGTCTTCCTCTCTTTAGATGGAAGAGACAGGTCGCATCCTCTGTAACTTGTGCAATGTGGTCCCTGGAGGAGTGATCTGTTTCTTCCCCTCCTATGAGTACCAACGCCAGGTCCATGCCCACTGGGACAAGAGTGGCCTGCTGGCCCGCCTGGCTGTCAGGAAAAAGGTGAGTGACCCCTCAGTTGGACCTTCCACTTGTGGGAACAGTTCCTCCTGGGATTTCTCACGCACATCAAACCAGATGGTTGGGCATTTCATATGGAGGCTTCTCCCACTTCTAATCCCTGATCACTGCCCAGAGGAGTCCCCAAAGCCCACAGAGTTCTCCTGCCTGGGGCAGACCCGTGAACCAGGCATCCTAAAACCCTGTTCTGGGAGACATCTGTTTACTTTCAGGTATTTCAGGAACCCAAGAGAGCAAACCAGGTGGAACAGGTGTTGACAGAGTATTCCAGGTGCATTCAGGTGAGAGGTGGATCTCAGGCCTTGGGTCCAGACATGTGGGTTGGCATCCGAAAACATTTGGATGGCGTCCCAGCTTTGGTCTGTTCCCGCAGTGCCATGGCCAGGCAGGAGGCATGGTGACAGGGGCCCTGTTGCTCTCAGTGGTCGGAGGAAAGATGAGTGAAGGCATCAACTTCTCCGACAACCTCGGCCGGTAAGCAGTGGGCCTCCCATCTCCCAGGACTCTGATCCCTGCTCACTCCTCACCTCAAGCAGCTGCCCGCCCCCCTGCAATCTGCTGCCATCTGAGTCTGCACCTGGGCTAACTGCGCAGTCAGCTGCATGGGGAAGTGATTCGGCAGCTTTGGGTTTGGCCCTTTGAGGCCAGTTGGAAAATTAGGCAGGCAGTAACTATCAGGACTCAATTCCTTGGCCTAGATTGGATCTCTTAGCTGAAAAACCCCTTTCCAGGTGGTAGGTGTAAGGTGGGGAGGGAGGAGAGCCACAGAGCACAGCTTGAGGACAGCAGGAGTGGTAGATGCAGCAGCTGTGACATGTGGGTGAGGACGCAGCCCTTCATCCTGGGCCTTGAAAACCCCAGGTGCCTTTGGCTCCTGTGTGCCTCCCCACCAGGTGTGTGGTTATGGTGGGCATGCCCTACCCCAACATCAAGTCTCCAGAGCTCCAAGAGAAAATGGCCTACCTGGATCAGACCCTTGTAAGTACCTCCAGGGTTCTGGAGAATGAGGGGAGAGGGCGGGGGAGAGCTCTGTGGCCTCTAGGGCTAAGGTACTTTGTGACTTCCCCATTGCCCCTTACTATGTGCCAGCGTTTCCTGTTTGCTCCAGAGGGATGGCAGCATCCTCCATACCCTCTTGAGCTTCTCCTGACATTATTCATTATATCAGCTGCTGGCATTGTGCCCATGAAGCCGATTGGTCCTGCTCAAAGCCTGGCAGTGTCATTTTCTCAGAACAGCAGGCAGGAGGCAGGAGGCAGGAAACAGTTCTGATAGGTCATCTCCTTTGCCCTTCCCAGCCTCGAACCCCAGGTCAGGGCTCCCCAGGAAAGGCTTTGGTGGAGAATCTATGTATGAAGGCTGTCAACCAATCTATAGGTAAGCAGGGATGAGTCCTAGCTATCAGGATGAACAGTTGGGGAGGGATGGGTGAAGAGTGAGGTCACAGGATGGGATTTTACATGCCACCTCTCCAGTCTGAGGGCTGGGAAAGGACACAATAGAAATACGCTATCGGGAAGGTAGGTTTAATCAGAGCCCCAACTTGTGCTCATCCAGGCAGGGCCATCAGGCACCAGAAGGACTTTGCCAGCATAGTGCTCCTGGACCAGCGGTATGCCCGTCCACCTGTCCTGGCAAAGCTGCCAGCCTGGATCCGAGACCGTGTGGAGGTCAAAGCTACCTTTGGCCCTGCCTTTGCTGCTTTACGGAAGGTCAGTCCTGCCTTTCCCTTCCCCCCAAGAACTCCCACCAAGACCCCATCTAGTGTTTCACTGTCTTTCCGTCTCCCCAGTTTCATCACGAGAAGTCTGGCCTTTCCTGAGGACGGCCACACCTGTCTGGAGTGCAGACCAGCCTCCTTCTGGAATCACTGGGCTGCCAGGATCCAGGAATAGGTGCAGAAGCCAGTAGGCTAAAATTAGGTTGATCCTGAACAACCAGTGGGTCCTGGCCATCCTCAGGCCCATCTCAGGGTATTTCCCCTCCCTGAAATTGAATCTCGCTTCCTGTTCACCACTGCCCAGTTAAGCTCCCTGCCCTGTTTCCTGGCCAGCCTTCCCGAGTGGCTGTGGAAGCTGCACCTTCCACTGTAGCATCTTTGCCTGTGCTCATTTCTCAGCATCTACTTTCTCAGAGGTGAGATGGAGCAGGCCTCTCTTGCCTCTACCTTTTCTCCTTTCCCCTTTCTAGCTAAAATTAGCTGTTCTAGGCCTCTACCCTTTCCTCAAAATTAAGAACATTCCCCATTTCCAGCCCCCTGGTGTCCAGGGCTCTTCTGCCCTCTGGCTTCTGGTTACTTCAACCCACTGCCATCTGGGGATTAAGCACCATCTATGGCAAATCAGGCACTGAAGTCATTTAGAACTGAGAGAAATGTCCTGTGCACTGCTCCCCCACCTGCTGGCCTCACTTCTTTACTTCAGGGCTGGTCCTTAACCTGTCCACAGCCTTCCACAGCATTCTTACTCCCTGGATTGGTTCCAGGTCCTTCAAATCAGTGGCACCTTTCCTCCTCTCAGCTACTTGAGCAAACTCCAAGACACCTCTTCCCCTGACATCAGCAATTACACCAAGGACCATTAGGCTCTCAGCATGACTATTTTTAGCTACTCTGTGTCTATCATGAGACTTTTTTCCTGTGTGAAAATACCCCTCCCTCCATCTGCAACAGCTGCCTCTGTTGACTATACCTCTCCTAGCCCTCCCTGACCCCAGAGAACGGGCCTTGGTCCACTTGGCACTTTGCCAGAGATACTGGGCGAGGGAGGACAGTCCCTGGCTCGGAGATGTCTGCATTCTGCACAGCTGTAGTTCCTTAATTAAAAGAGTACTGTTGGTTGATGCTCAGTTATATTTCTTTATTGATTTGTGTACTGCTGTATCTCAAAGTCTCAGAAAAGATGCTAGTGAAGGAGGTGGGTGAAGCACAGGCAAAAAGCGAGGACCCCCTTGCACCACCACCCTCAGAAGCCAGCTTCCCTGCTCCTTGAAGACTGTCCAGGCACAGACCTTGGTTAGTCCTCCACGATCCCCATCCCTCCACGGGCAGCAGGGGCTGAGAGACCTGCAGGCCAAGGAGCCCATCCCAGCTGTTTCCATGTGAGTGTAAGACCCTCAGCCTGGGTTCAGGAGAAGGAACCGCTAAGCCCCTAGGATTCCCAGTCATCCTCATCCTCCTCTCCAGGTGGCTGCTGCGGGGGAGGCAGAGGCGGGATGGAGTCTGACATTCGGGCGAAGGCTCCTCCTGGCCCCTCGCCGGCCCCGGTCCCAGGTCCTTTCCCAGAGATCCCTGGGAGGAGGTGGAAGGTGAGGGGAATTGTTTGGGGAGCCAGTTCCCCCAGCCCCCCAAAGACTTAGAAACAGGAAGAACAAGGCAGAATGTGCCTGACGCACAGCACCCCAGTCCCCAGCCCTGGGGAGCAGCAGTGCTCTGTCCTACCTTTGCGCCTCATGACCAGCTTGTTAAAGAGATCTGACATCAGGTCCCCACCTTGGCCTGTGGCTCTCACTGCAACAGGAAAAACTACGGGTGAGGGAGAGGAAGGGATCAAGTGTGAAAGCTGCTCCTGGGTGACCACCTCAGGGTTCAGTCACATTTGTCCTTTTTCTTCACTACTGACACACCCTAGCCCTCCACAGCCACCGTGTCACCACCAGCTCTTGGAGCTTCAGTCTGCCAGTGGATCTGGAACCAGGGCACTGATAAGAAAATGGTTAACATTTGAGCAACACCGTCACAGCCACCCTGTGAGATAAGGGCACGAATGAGCAGCCCCACTGTATGGATGAGGAAACCAGCCCAGAGATGTTAGGCAATTTGCCTGGATCTCAGTACAAAGCTCAGAAGCAAAGCCAGGACTCAAGCTCAGGACTGTTGACATAGGGCCTGCTGCTTTATGCCCAGGTGTTATATTTATGCCAGTGTCATAGCAGAAGTAATCTGTGCCCCAAGAGGCTTAGAGAAGCAGGACTGAGCTACCAGGTCCTTTGTCTCTAAAGTATCTCAGGTCCTGACTTTCCTCAGACAACTGGCAGAGTATGAGATTTTCTCATGTAGTTTGAGCTGGATGAGGCTCTGTCCCCTACCAGCTTAGGGAGGAAAGTTCCATTAAGCAGGCTCCAAAACCCAGCAGGAACCCACTGCCCAGACAGCAGAGGCAAGGATGTCAGGGTGGCTACCCAGGGTTTGCAGCAAACACCCTGGGGAAAGCAGGGGGCTGGCCTGTTGACACCTGGGTGGCAAGGAGAACCCTATTGGAGTCTGGTGGTGGTTGGAAGAGGCAGCCCTTTGCTTAGAGCCCTACTGGAGTGGGTGTAAGGTACCCTCACCTTGCTCCTGTTCCTTCTGTTTCTTCTTCTCCAGCTTGCGCTCCTTGACACTGCGGAGCTTGGCCTTGCCAATGCCCCCAGCCTGGCGGATGGACTCAAGCAGAGTGGCCCGGCCACTGGAGGGGTCCACCACTTCCTTGGGAGCTCCCTGGACTGGAGCTGGGGGTGGGGAAGAAAGGCTGCTCAGGCAGGACTAGGCTACCAGATAGCCCTACCCAGCCTAAAGGTCTGGGCGTCCAGAGGAGCCCTCAGCAGCCTGGCTGCGAAGAGGGCTCCTCCTGAAGAGGAAGCCAGCTGGGGAAGCTGGGCCTCTGGTGAAGCCTGAATGTGTCCAGGCACCCCCGTCCCTCTCCAGTCCCACCCAGCGTAGGCGCTACCCTGCAGAGGTGGACCCTGGGAATTACTCATGTGCTGAGTATCTAAATGTGACACATGGTCCAACAAGGGATTTCCATGCCACTTCTGGACGGTGAAGACTGGGAGATATGTTAAAAATGAAATTCTGCAATTTAAGGGACACATGTTGCTGTGGTTTTCAGTTATTTTAGTACACTCCCCCCCTTTTCCATTGGTTTAAGTGGGAATGGGGGACCCATAACCCCACCTGTCCAGGCTCCCTCTACTCTGGAGGATAGAATTCTGGAGCTCTACAGACATGGTTTGAAAACCACTATTTTATGAACCCAATGGAACAAGGTTTAAAATTAGAACTATTCTGAAACTCAATTTATGATCATTCAACAAACCTACAGGAAATTCTTCAGGGATTCAGAAATTACACAGAGGCGCCCTCAGAGAGCACCCTACCCACACATGGACCCACATGCCCGATGCCGCTCCTACCTGAAGGAGACAGGCTGCTGTCATCCTTGGCACCTTGACCTGGAGAAGCCACTGTCTGCGGTGGGGGTGGGGGTGGAGGAGCGCTGGCCAGCACTGCTGGAGCTGG